TGGCTTAATTGTTCCTTCGTCTTCTTCACTCTCTTCATCAGGAAAAAAGTAGATTTTTGATCTAAAGAGTATCAATAGAGGTTAATTCTATTAAATATTTAGGCATTTTTGGAGTAAATCCCCTCAAATCACACAAGTCAGATATGTGATATCTGAGGAAGACTTATTTTGTGTGCCTGCAATGTCAAACTCTGGACCAAATATTAAACCAACTTGCATTCTTCGTCTCTTAGCTCTGCTTGGGCTTTTTTCGGTATCTTTATTCAGGTCAGTAGAATCGACTGCATCAGGGAGCTTCAAGTGTGCTTCATTAAAAGGTACCATAAATGGGCAATGCAGAACTCAGAAGACAGATCAAAATTTGCACTGGCTCTTAAACAAACCAAATCTACAAAGAGGATTCACTTACGTGCTGTGTAAATTGTGCGAACAGCATACATTGACTATCCCTCTCCTGGCTGCTTTAGGGATTTAACTGCTCTCGCAGTGTCAGCACTCTTATAAGGAGGCCAATAACACTGGCCATTGCATATCCATGCGGCAGGGACCACCTCAACTTCATTACTTTTTTCATATACAACTATGTTAAACATCTTGTAGCTTATGTATTTCTGCAGCTATGTAGAGTAGCAGGAAAAAGGGTAGGAAAAAAAAAGAAAACATTACAATGAACACAACACAACACTTAGAACAGGCAAATGGTTATACACATTTGAATTTACATTTATGCTGGCATCTTAACTAACAAAGTGTGGAGAGAGAGAAGTGAAAAGTGTAGACTCCTTACCAGTGGATACCCAGAGTCCTTAAGTGGATGGGGTCTGGAGGAAATAAAGAAAAATGGACAGTGTTAATTGTAAAAAGTAACCAATTTAACTTTAAAAGTACTTTATTATGACGTATCTATAAGGTCCTGCATGAAACCTCTGTAGTATGTGTAACCATAGGGAGCATCTGGGAGTGTTTTATAGCATAAAAGCAAGAACTGTGGCAATGAAATTATTATCACAACTTCCTATGTTGTTGTACTCCTACTGGTGTGTTATCTGCATTGTGTTGTACAATTCTTTTACAGTTGCTACATTTCCACATTGTTGTACCCATTAATAACTGATAACATTACCAGTAAGTGTTGTGTGCGGGATTAGTGCCCATAACATAAACTACCGCACAAGGATCAATTTGTGCTAGTTCTATCTCCTTATTACTCAATATAAATTCACACTATGTTTCACAGTGCTCTACCATGAGTGTGAGAGTGGAAAACACATCAAAGTAGAGGGGAGAGGCAGATTTAGAGAGGGGAGAGTATGTTGACTTTATTTGATATAATTATAATAAAAGACTAACCAATATTGCACACGCTGATGCTGAGTGTTCATAAGGTGTCTGAACATGTTTCTGTAGAACTGAACATGTGCGGGTACATGTAAGTCACTAAATTATTTTAAAATTCAATTATTTTGTACTATACAACACACCACAGTGCTTCTTTCAGGAGGTTGTCAACCCGCAATATTCTTTGTATAATGACAAGGCCCAAACACAAAAGAAACAATTTGACTGACAAAATGGAAGATGACCTAGAGCCTTATCTATTGATAAACTCTGAGACTTTTAAGAGGCAGCCCTACATTAGTGGTGGTGTAACCTATCATTCATGTTGATAAATTCTACAACAATATGGAAACAGGAGTTAGTAGCAAAACTTTTGCATAACACACAACAGATCACAAAAACATACAGTATATAATATAGATTATATATTATATA